GCAGTAAACTTCATAGAAAATATCTATTTCATAGTTATCATTATCTGATAGGCCTGACTCCTTTCATCAGTGTGAAAGGGTCCCCATTTACTTTTAGTGCTTGTATTCTTATATATAGCAATACATTCTTGTCATACATTTTATAGAACTAAGTTACATCACTATATTTATTATCTTAAGTATTTTATTTCTGTGTTTGTTTATGCTGTGTCCCCAATTAGCTTGTAAGCTAAATATCCTGACGCGTAAATAAAGTTTATCATTTATTATTATCATTTATTCAGTGTTAAAATAAATGTGCTGTATTATCAAGGTCAGTCAAAAACTCTTAGATAAAAATAAATTTGCTTGTTCAAAGATTATTTTATGGATTCATTATAGCTGGATGTATAATGGAAAGCCTACTTTTTCAAAAAAATCATGCCTACAACAAATCACCCAACCCACTCCACCCCCAACCTCAGAAGTAAAATGTTTTCGGACCTCTTTTATGAAGAGGACCCCTGTCGTTTGATTCTTGCAAGGGGCATCTCCAAAAAGCAACCACATTATCCTATCATTTTGGTTGTTTTCTTACGGGAAATTTGACTGTAGTACAAGCCAGTTTAAGCCACATTACAGTGCGACTACCCTAACGGGAGCACTTGGAAGAAGATTATCCAATCACAACGTTTTTTGAAAACAAAGATTCTTAAATTTATTTTGCAAATAGGCCAATTTACATTCCTAGATTTCAGGGCTGTTTCGGGAGAGGTTAGGTAACTTTAAACAGTTTTAACGTTTTACAAAAAAATTGTGAATCTTTTGTTTTCAAAAAAGGTTGTAATTGGATTTATAATCTTCTTCCAAAACATTAGTAGCATTGTAAGAATGGCTCAGCGTGTTTTAAGCATCTATTTCTACAACTGATGCAAAACAAACTTGTATTCAGGGGATACCAACAAAGGTCCATTAAGTGCCTGCTAATCTAAATTACGTGTTATATTGGAACCATAGGGGCGGTCCTGCACCTATTTGAAAGATTGTTTTTGATTAGCTGGAAAAACAATAGGGATTGTCACATAACAATGCCCCTATCCCTGAAAACAATGGAAGTGCAGATTAAAGGGGACCACCATACTCAGAGATGCCAACCTCTGGAGACCTAAAATCGGGACACTTTCTCTTTTTCACTACCCCCCTCCCTGAAAAATTGACCCAGCCCCCAATGGGAATAACTTAGGACATTATATGACATCTTACATGATGTACATACTATCAAAATTCGAAATCATCATTTTGATGCTAGAAATAATCTTTGCCAATGACTAAATACGTGCAAAAATGCCCCAGAAACCGTAGTGTAAATAAGAAAAATTCAAGTTTTGAGCTAAAAATGTGCTAAATCTCAAACTAAGTCTGTTTTATTTTTTACTAAGTATTCAATATTTATAGTGGACGTAAAAAGCGGGAGATTTATATACCAAAGCGGGAGAGCGGGAGATGAGCCGAAAAAGCGTAAGTCTCCCGCCAAAAGCGGGAGAGTTGGCATCACTGCATACTTGTATCTCTCTGTTGCATGTTGTTGTTTGCTTTTTGGGTCTTGACAGTGCAAACGTTTAATAATAGCATTCCTATCATTTTGATCTTGCAAACAAATCAAAACATCACAGCAATTGTTTCAGTCAAAATTATTGTGTAAACAAAAAAGGGTTGTGCACAGTCAGGGAGCTCCTAGCATAAACTGCAGCACTGTTGTTTTTATCTTTGATGAATTGGGACGTTCCATTTTTATTCTGATCTCGCCCTATAGATGAGCTGATTCCTACCACCTCACTTTGAAAACGGATTCCTACTACAGCTGTAGTTGTCTGCCAAGGATACTCATCCATAGGGGGGATCGGAATAAAAATTAAACGTCCCATCTGGGCTTTCATAACCAGTCTCATCAGACTTATTGTCTTGGTTATAAGTTCGGGGAGAGCACCCCTGAAATTACTTCATGATTTCGACTATAAGATTTATCCCCATTGCATAAATATAACGTCCTTATAACACCGACATTTTCTGCGAAATAGCCTTAAATTTAGGATAAGATAATTAAACATACCTCACAAAACCAGTGCCGAACTTTTGACGACTTCTGCCAAGCCACATCCGTGAATAATTAAGCCATAAATGAAGCCAAGTGTTAAATATATAAGTTAAAGAACCGATGGAAATCAAATCCGAGTTCCTGAAGTCCAAATAATGTCACTTTAGGTCCAATTTAACTACACGTGTCACACGTTTCCGACGCCATATTGGTTTCTCTTAGAACCTAGTCCTCTACCGCGGGAGTCTCGCGCGCGAGCTTACACAGCACGACACAGCACTCGTCTCGCGTTTCTCGAGTACTCTTAAACGCGCTCAATGGTTGTTTATTGTTCTTCACCATTCATGGGTGAGATAAATAGTAGATAACATATAGATTTAGCCACGGCTAAAAGCGAAGCGCTCGATGATATTTATAGCTTGCTCAAACTAAATATAAAATCGTGTAATGCTAAGCGTAGTCTCCCTCGCAGCCGTTTTTAGTATCGTCACGCAACGCTCCTGGGGAGGAGCGTTGCGTGACGATACTAAAAACGGCTGCGAGGGAGACTATGCTAAGCGGCGAAGGCAACGAGAACGGTGAAAAAACTACAACGCTAATTAGCAATAAGACACCTTTGCACGCGTAGCACACTTTTTTTGTACATTTCTTTCCCATTGTTTTGCACGACTACAACGTGAAAAGTTTAGAAACTTCCTGGTTACACGATTTATGGAGGAAATGTCGTACATGTTCTTGTTCCCTTTTTTTTTACTACCGCTCAATTTCTCCTTGGTGGCCGCTAGCATTTCTCATTTTCTCACCGCCGCTACAATTTCATGTTGTTCTTCCAACAGAAAATGCCTCCTTATCTCTCGCTTAAGCTCTCCGTCGTTCTTTTTCTCCGTGAGCGTTATTCGCTGGGCTGTCGCCTATTTTCTCTTTTTCTCCGTCTTTCTCTTTCTCTAAATTCAATTAATCTAAGCTAGTTTAGATAACACAGATAAACAATTTCAGCTTTCCGATTTCATCTTTGTTGACTCTTTAATTGTCTCTGCTTCACAAGGACGCGGGTGGCTATACGATTTCCCGCCAAAATAACCTCGAGTTCCATTAAGGTTGCCATATCTGTTGGTTGAGTTATTTTGCATTGGCATTTTTATTAACAGCATTTCCATAAAAAATGGCTCTACATCTGCTAATAACATAAAATATATAGTATGCATTCAGCTAGAAAATAAAATACGTTAATAAATCAGGAGCAGAAAATGTGCGTGGTAACAAAACCTAACTAATTAACTAACTAAGAAACTAACTACCTAACTGTGGTTAAAAACTGTATTATGTAACACTGAAGATGACAGATGTACCGTCCAAACATGTCTGGTAAATCATAGATAATATTATCTATGGGTAAATTAAAGAAAGTTGTTATGTTTATGCGACAGGCTATTTCCCAATACTTTACTCAGAACATTTAACCTATACGAGGTGAGCCATAATCGAGGTAGGAGACCGTCAACTTGAAATCTTTTCCAGTAGGTCTAATAAGAAACAAAGACTACACGTGATACGCATTATTTTCTGCATTCTGTGTGTGTGTGTGTGTTTTCTTTTTTTGGTTGTCTGTTTATTTTTCCTTTTTTTTTGTAGTGCGGTTCGTTTTCCGTTCAATCCTCGGTTTTTTTTCGACGGTCCATTTTCTTTTTTTGCCTTTTATACTCTTGATTTTGTTACTTATATTTTTGAATAACCCCATCCTTTTTGTACTCTGAAATCGGCCTTCCATCCGCCATATGAGTACAATACATGTCCCCATACATGAAGTACCTACCCATATGAACCAGTGAATCCGCTGACCGAAACCGCATTGTTTTGAAACCGTTCTCCAGAGAAAATTAACGCCCGTCAAATAGAAAATATCTTTGCGAGCAGGAGCCATCAGGAGCCATAATCGTAGCCTAAAAATCAGGCGTTTTAATTCGTCAACACGGTGTTTTAACGAAAGCACGACCCAGAGGAACATAACCTCTTCCTGCACATTGATTAAATGGGGCTAGAAATTTAGATAGCCACATAAACATAACAACTTTCTTTAATTTACCAGACATGTTTCGGCGGTACATCCGTCATCTTCAGTGTTACATTTTTTGAAATCGCCGTTGAATTTAAATCGCGCGCGATGTTACAAAGTTCGTTACATTGCTTTGGCAATATTGCGCACTGAAAAGTTTCAATTTAGTGACATATTGTGGGTGGGGATTTGATCCGTAATTGAGTCATGCCCGGTGTGGGAGAAAATATCCGCACGCGTGAGACCTGCAGATAAGGTTTGCAAGGCGGCATGTAAAATCCTGTGCAAGGTCAATCATAAAAAGAGAGATCGACATGAATGCGATTGTAATATTCCTCGGGAGGCCCTCTGCAAGGGCCTTTAGGGACAGATCATTATTTACCGCCTGGGGGAGGAAATTAGGGGAGATCACTTCATTTTTGGGAGAACAAAAGGGGAGATCAGTCCTAAGGGGGGATCGCTGAAAACTTTGGAAGGATTCAAAGGGGGGACCACTCAAATTTGCTTGGAAAATAAAGACATGTGGGGAGGGGGGGGGGATCGCGAAAGTCATCAAAAGTTATTAGGGGGGATCACTTCAGTGAAGTAACATTCAAAGCGGGGATCGGCTAAATTTCACCTTGTTTAGCCCCAAATCCTCCGCCCCCTCCCCCCGGTGATAAATAATGACCGGTCCCTTAAAACACAAAAACACATTCCAAAGAGTCCCAACAAGTCATTTATTGCAATAAATCCCTTTCTTTTTTTACATCAAAGTATGTAATTTCCCTTTTTTTGATTGATATAACTTATAGGGTCGACACATATATTATATATTTTTTATTCAATTTCCCCCTGCCTCGAAGTCTACCCTGTACTCGTTGATTTTTCTCGTTACGGAGGAAGTGCAAACAACCGTGATAAAGCTCTGCGCCTGCGTTTCTTGTTGGCGTCGTTGACGATCTCCGTCTTGCTTTTCGCGTCCGTTTCTTTTTCGAGATTATGTGATATGGTAGCTGTACACGTTAGCTCGTTGCACTCGCATTCCGTTATTGTATAGAAGTCCGCTTGCATTTCCTTTCCATCTGGGCATCTAACAGTGATATTAGATCTCTCGTAACTTACAGGTTTGCAGCAGTTGCAGGTGGGATCGTAGGGCTCTGTTCCAGCTGAGGCCTCCGCCGAGGACGGGCAGTTGCCTCCGCACGTAGTGACATTTTGTTTGTCTATTGATATGCATTTTTCTGCCATAACATATTTCTCAACTGGCGGTAGAAGTTTGCAATGTTCACCCGTCAGAGTTTTATTTACTGGAATGCCCTCTGTAAGAAAAATTGGATCAATGTAAGTTTCTGTGAAACTGGCCACCTACCCCTCCCCTTACTCAACGTTAACATTTGCTTCTCACTTGGGGCAAAATGTTGGGTTCGGGGAGGGGTAGGTGGGCAGTTTCCTAGAAACCTTTTAAAATTGATCCGAAAAATTGTCATGAAAAAAGGATCAATTGAGGTTACTCTGTAACTGACCGCCCACCCCTCCCCTGAGTCAAAAGGTGTCCTCCCCCGACACCTGACCCCTCCAATGAGCCAACAAGCGACGGAGTCATAAACGGAGTCCGAAGAAAATGGAAACGTTCTAATTCTCCCAACTCCGATTCCGTCGTGCTTATGATTCTGCTTAAAAATCCAATTTTTGATTTTCACGAAGTCATAAACGCTCTTACGACTCCACTTACGATCCCGAATCCGACTCCGACTCAGTCGCTAGTGAAAACCAGCCTTCAGGGCGTTACTTAGAGTTCACTTTTGGTACAAAGGCCCATATTGCCGCACTCTCCGACAAGGTCAAATCCAGAAGTCAATGCCAAATACATTGATTCAGTTTGCTACTGGTTTTCATCACTGATTCAATATCAAATGTATTTAGGCTGGAGAATTATTTTTCGCGGTTGATTTACATGACATGGCATTTCCTTAGCATGAAGCATGCCTTAGGATTATTGCTACCCTCCTGGACGGCATACTAGTCCATCGCAGGGTTATCCCCCAGCAGTATGTTGCTGGTATTAATGCTGGTATCCATTTATACACCTGACAACCTCGTCCCCAGGGCTTTTTATTTTTTTTTGAGGGAAAAGCCCTGGGGACAAGGTTGATACACCTGAGTGAAGGGAGACAAAGTGGAGTAAAGTTCCTTCTCTAAACAAATTTGAACCGTTTTCATCACGCGATCATATTGTTGATGTAGACCCTAACGCTTCAGTTTTATAATGGAGTTTAGCTGATGAGTGGGTCATCTTTTCGGTGGCCTACGAAAAAAGTTTGTATTAAACACCTATGCACTCAGGATTTGAGTGGTTCACTTACTGGCCTATATAAAAAAATATATATTTTTTTTGTTTTATGCTTTTGTTTACTTCTTCATCGCCTTGCCGTAAGGATCTGGTTGCCGTTTCATAATTTTTTACAAGTTTAATTGTACTGATCCAGGTCTACAACTGGGAGATCCGGCACCACTCATTGGTTTGTTGCTGTGGACTTGCTGACATTTTATATATTTCGTTAACCGCTCGGCTACACACGCCTCCAGGATCAATATACGTCTCTGGGAAACTGCCCATTTACCCCTACCCTAAGCCAACATTAACACTTACTTCTCACTTAGGGCAAAATGTTAGCTTAGGGGAGGGGTAGGTGGGTAGTTCCCAGAAACGGATAATGATCCCTCCAGGAAAAGAGGATCGGCCTAAATCGCGTCAAGCCTTTGACGTCGCTGCCGCCCGAACTTCTCAACTAGTTAACCTTCCTTTCTCTTCAACTGGCTTTTAAAGTGCGCGCGCAACCGTTTATTGATAAACCGAAGATCATCGCTGAGCCCGCCAAACCAAGCGAAGCAGCTATTAGGTCTGGGTTCGAAACTGTATGCTGGCAACATGCAGCGAAAGAAAAGAGAAACAAAACGACAAAAAATTTTGCCATCTACCAAAAACCCGTCAACAAGTTTAAAAACAACCCAATTATTAAGAAAAACATTAAAATAACAGTGTTATCGCCTCTTTCTCCAAGACTTGTCATACTCTTATTGTAACATCCATGAAAGGATAAATACTCTGAAAGTTTAGCGCCAAAATAGACATAAAGACCAGAGGCGAATTTACCCCATCAAACACTTTGGGCATGAAAATATAGGAAATGAACACCAGGCCCCAGTTGTTCAAAAGTTGGATAGTGGTATCCATCACATAAATCGCTATCCAGTGGGATAAGTATTACGACCAGTAATAACCAAAAGTTACGGACTGCAGGCGACAACGATCAAAAGTCAAAACGCTTTCGCTCAATCGCTGTGCTTTGCGTAAAGATCACGTGACAGATAGTAAAAACACGCGTGATCGGGTTACGACTGAAAGAAGGTCCAAACGCGCGTGGTCAAATTGCCTTCTGTGCACTCCATTCACTCTTAGTCCAAAACGAATGCTGGCTACATACATGCGACTCATACGTTATAACAGCCTGGAGATTAGTAGCCTGCGCAGCAGGCGCTTGGAAGTAGTGGGCACAAGAAAAAACGGGCGCGCGAGAAGGAGTCACCCCTTGCGTGTCTCCCTCGCGCGCGCCCGTTCTCTCTTTCGCCCGCTACTCCCAAGCGCCTGCTACGCAGGCTCGGAGATTAGGATTGCGGGCTCCTCTTGTCGCCCGAAAAAACTGATTACGTCATCCACTTGATAGTGATTTATCCACTGGATAGCGCTATCCAACTTTTGATCAACTGGGGTCAGAGAAAGGTACTGATTGTTATATAAATTCTCCTTATCAGTGCCATAGAAAGACAAGAGAGAACGATGTGGAGACAATGCAAGCTGATTTTAAGAGTAAAATGCTAATCGCACATACCGCATGGAGGACAGCAAACATCCTCGGTCATGTCTGGTCGAACTGTTCCCTATGGAAGAAGAAAGTCAATCTTTAAATACCGATTGCCATCACCGCATATGAAAAGAAAATAGTTGAAGAAGTGTCGTAATAATAATAATAATCATAATCATAATCATAATTTATTTTAAAGATAATATCATAATCTTTTATAGAATTTTTCAATTTTAACAAGTGCGCGATCTTTAGATTCTTGAGACATTACGAAACAACGACGGCGACGGCAAGGAGAACTTCAAAAAAGCAATAGATTTAATAAGCAAAAAAAAAAACAACTCTGCACGTGCATCACGCTTTTTTGTACATTTCCCTGCTGTCCCTGCACAACTACGACGTGAAATGACCAAATTTTAAGTTTACTTGAGAACGGGAACGGGAAGGCGATATATTTTACAATCTCTCTCTGAACTCGGGCGCAGTCCCCTGTCTTCAGGTCCAACAAAAATTCCCTTCTTTTAAGTAACAGGGCGACTTGTGATAATCGCGAAAAAGTTAAAACGGATGCAAAGTCTATTTTTCAGCGACGTTTTCACGGACGTCGCCGTTGTCGGATCGTAAGGTCCCTTCTAAGACGAGGACGACTACAAGAACAAGATTTTTTCAGTTCTAATAAGTGCGCGCGAGTGAATCTCCCAGCGCTCTTGTAGTCACTGTCCGATACAGTAAGACCCTACTTCTTTTGAAGTCTGACAAAGTAAGTTCATGTATTTTGGTGTATTTGTTGGCAATTTAGGCTAAGTAGGTTCTTCATTGGGTTCTTAACTTTTATGAAGGAGATAATACATTGTTAGTTTACAGAAAAATAAAAAAAACATGAGTTTCCTCCTTAAAAATACGGTATTGATTCGCAGTTGTATTATTATAACCCTGACAAAACTGGTTACCGAACTCATATTCAGTTTGGTACAGTTTATTCCTGTTAAACTACATTTTACAATCTCCAAGTTACAATCCTTGGTTAAATTGTTTATCACATTTAACTGTAACCCACATATAAGAACATGCTTGATCTTGATTAGCTTAACAGGTTCTTGTAGTTTTGGGTATTTAAATGGCAAATTTCTAGCAGGAGTTTCTAAATCCACTAGGTGCGTATTTGCGTGTGTTTACTGTATGTCGACAGCCTGACTGATTGACTGACTGACGAATTTCCTTACTGTCCATCCTACAAACTCAGCAATAGTTTAATATTAGAGAATTCTTACATTCGGGCACTGATCACATTCTGTTTTAAACACCGTCATCTGACCAAAAGTGTTTGGATAGCAGTCTGTTCTCTCTATGCACTCGACTGTCGTACACGCGTTCTCCTTGTAAGTTTCATTATGCTGAAGACGAAATGAAAAAAAAAAACCGTTATACAGCGTTTTCACTCACGTGGCCACGTTACATAGGAAAAGAGTTCAAATCCCACAGGATTGGTTGAAACACCAACATGCCCACCTACCCCTCCCCTAAGCCATCGTTTTGCCTTAAGTGAGAAGTAAGTGTTAATGGAAATGAAGAAATGATCGTCGCAGTGAAGGCAATTTATGCAGTCGCGTAAAGACGCCTGAAATAAATTCAGGACTTCAACGGGGTTTGAACCCGTGACCTCGCGATTACCGGTGCGATGCTCTACCAACTGAGCTATGAAGCCACTGACGTTGGGAGCAGGTCAATTGTGGGTTCATATGTTCAAGTCAAAGAAATGAGTGTTAATGATATATGAAATAAATCATATATGAACTGCGGAAATGAAATGGAAATGAAGTGGCATCAAAATCCATAAGGCAACAAGGTATTTCGTGAAAAACAAGATTAGGCTCTTTTAAGCTATATCTAGTCACTCACGTGGCACAAGACCGAAACGCAATGGGACAAGACAATCAAAGGAAATTACCACTTTGAATGGTCGTTTGTCTTGCCCTAGTGCGTTCCTTGATCACCAGCTCGTTACTTTGGTACCAAGACTAGCTGCAAAGGGCTTATATTTGAAAAACTCTGC